TAACGGACGGGATACTTTGCGCGCTACCTTCTATAGAAAAACTGTAAGCCAATAAACTTGGACGCTGCTTTTTCCTTTTCTTTACTTTCCTCAATAAAACGTTTTTTTTTATTTTCCACTAATAAATTTGTAGGTTGCTATTTCCTTTTCTTGCTTTCCTGAATAAAAAGTTTTTCTATTTTTTAATAACCGAGGTACTATTTTCAAACGAGACTACTATCTTCCTTTTCTTCTTTATTATTGTATAGCTCCCAACTGTACGCTGCTACTCTCAAGGTAACTATTACGTAAAATAAACGGGCGTAATCTACCAACTATTTTACTAAACGCTAACTCAGATTTCTTTTTCCTTTTTTATCTACAGCTTTAAATCTTCGTTGCCGGTTATTATTTCCATTCTCACGGTCGTACCAGATTGAGACCACCCACTGCCATGTATTTAGAAATGATTAGGACGATTATTATTACGGAGGGGGCATTGTGAGAGGAGTAGAAGGATGGCAGTCGGGGACGACCACTGTCGGGCAAGCCCGACAAGCAAGACCGACGAGCAAGAGCAAGCCCAACAGGGCGCTCAACTGCTCAAGCGCTTAGGTATAAAACCCAGCGCTAAAAACCTTTAGACAGCAGCTTAGACTTAGACTAATCAATACTATCAGATCATTAGCATAACCATCGGGCTATTCATCTTACAGCTGTCCACCTTTCTAAAACAGCTCGGTTTTTCACCCCTCAGTACGGACGATAGGGTATTTATTAAAGGACACGTTTACATTACAATATATATTAATAATTTGCTTATCGCCGGCCTAACTAAGGCCGAGGTACAGTCCCTAAAGGACGCCCTCAATAAACGCTTTAAAATATCCGACATAAAACCTTGTTTATTCTATTTAGGCATGGCTATCTTACGCGACCGCCGCAACCGGTCAATTAGACTATCTTAGAAAGCCTACCTTAAAAAAATTATTAGACAGTTCGGGCTCTAGGACGTTGCCCAGGTTAAGACGCCTATTTAAACCTCCAAAATAGTAGAACTACCTAACGATTTCGAAACTAACAATAAAACTAAAACCTAGTATACTAGTACAATTAACTCGTTAATATACGCTATACTTAGGATACGTCCAAATATAGCTTTCGCAGTATCCTTCTATAATCGGTGTATAATAAGACCTACCGCAGCGTATATTAGCGCAGTCAAACGGATCTTTAGATACTTATATAGTACTATCAAGTTCGAATTAATATATTCCGGGAATATTAAGCCCCTTACCGGTTTTACCGACGTAGATTGGGTTAGTAATTCCTAAATACGCCGGTTTACCTCCGGCTATATATTCAACGTTAGTAGTACTATTATTAATTAGAGCTCAAAAAGATAGGTTACTACTACCCTATCCTTTTACGAAATAGAATTAATTAAGTAAACGTAGGCTATTAAAGAGGCGATCTAACTACAACGGCTACTAAACGAATTAGACAAGTACCCTATATTAATAACTATTATTTATAGTAATAATTAAGGAGCTCTATCTTTAATAAAGAATTTAAAGTTTTATACTAGAACGAAATATATAGATATTCAATAGTTCTTCTACTATAAGAAGTAAACCTCCGAAAAGGTCAATTTCCAATATATACCTACTAGTAAATAAGTCGCCGATAGCCTAACTAAAGCGTTACTAATTGACGCATTCGTTAGATTTTGTAATATATTGGGGCTTTACTAATCTACTTTAATACTATATAATTACTACTTATTTATACCGTTAAGTATATACTCTAATAACTTTAGAACCCTAAAGCCTATACTTAATTACTACATTAATTATTATAGTACTAAACTACAAAGGTCTTAGCACTATTCAATTATTTACTATCTTTCGGCTCGGTCCTATTATAGTCCCTACGACCTCTACCTTAAGGTACGTATGATCGGACGGTCTAAATCGCGACTTTCGAATTCCCGCGAAATTTATTTATATAGGATTTGCGAAAAATCGTCTTACGACGAACTTCAACCTTTCGTAGCATTTCTACCCACCATCGTATTCAACTCAACGAACAAATTCCGAATCTTATTTCCGTTTTATCATACCATACTTCTATAGCGAAGTATAACCAATTTCGTTCTAAAATACAATATTTCTCTTTACCGATAGTACGGGGACCTTTTTCCCACTGGGTTTTTTACTAGCCCGTACTTATCGTTTGGTAGCTTAAGAAGAAAGGAGTACGAATAACTTCAACTTCCGAACCATATTTAGCTCGAGGGGGAGTATTGAATAATTGGTATTTCGATCCACATATAGATAACTTACTCGTTCTCGTTTCATATCTTATATATATTCTTTACACTTCTACTCTCCTCTTCTCCTTCTTCTTCATCCTTCAATCAATAAGTTCACCACCACACTCGCTTACCCTCGTGATGTCTCGCTTCACTTCAATAGTAAAGACGGCTTGGATCCGCCAGACAGAAAGGTTTCTTTCCTTTGCGAAGTTGAGGGATAACATGTAGTAGGTACTCATCATTTGTCGATTGGTCTGGTGATATGGTACTGCCTTAGATCTTTGTTGCAGAGGGAGCCACCCACCTATAGAGAAAATAGATGCAAACGCGAACCTGAGATGAGTTGCGACAATCTACAAATTTTGTCTTCAAGACAGTAGAAGTTCGTCAGGTGGCATAATACCTGCGTCCTTGATGAGTGGAAGTTGACATATTGCTAAAGACGATGTCTATGACGAGGATGTCCAGAAGGTGTCAAATGTGATGATGTAGCCAATGGGCAGAGGTATCTAGAGGTATGAGAAGGTTAAATCAGGTTGGTACTTGATAACACAGGCACCCAGGCAGCGGCGTATCACAAGTCGTAATACGTTGTATACGGGTAGAAAGTCCTCAAGAGCGAGTACTAGTCAGCCCCCATTCATCCGATTGCCTTCCTTCCGTTGTCACTCCCGTCGTCATTGCTTTACAGCTGGCAGAGAGCCCTACCCCAGCCACAGCACTGGGTTGACCCAGAAACCTCGACCACAAGCAAGAATTACCTTCCTTCACTTCCTTCCCCTCCTTCACCCACCAAGAAGCAACACCTCTCACCCCACAGTCGCTTTCTTGATCCTCGCTTCTTGATCATCAAAACAGCCCGCGACTTTGTTACAGTTCTCCCTTTCAGTATGACCTTCCTCCAAGGTCACCAGATAAAGCTGAAACGATTTGCGACCGCGCCTTTGGTTCATACACCCCCCATCAAGGGCCCGGATTTCCTGCCCCTATTGTGGGTTGGCACGACACTTCCCTTTACTTTTGAGGGGCGCGGCGTCATCGAAGATTTCAAGGTATGAAGATGTCAACATCCAACACACCTTCTGTTTATGAAGTTCACAACACTCACTCCACAAAGCTGCTCTCACCGGGCCCAGCTCAGACTCAACTTCAGAAGGAGCGCCATCGAAGATTTCAAGGTATGAAGAAGTTGACAACCAACACACCTTCTGTTTATGAAGTTCCTAACACTCCCTTCACAAAAGCGCTCTCATCGGGCGCGCCTGTAGCTCAAGCTCAACTTCAGGACACCGGAACTTCCCTTAGTCGTGACAAAGAAGACACAGGCCAAGATGGAGGTCAAGAAGGATGGTGTTTTCGTGTGCGTGACTACCTCGAGCCAGGAGATTCGCAAGCACTTGCGTGACATCGCCAAGATCAAGCTTAAGAGAACGCAAGAGAAAACTGAGGAGGTCCTGAGGGAGAAGGGCATCTACGATGGACCCGAGGAGATGGTGGAGGATGTGTACAAGGAGATCATCGATGGCAGTAGCAACTACCCCGTTTACCAGCAAGCTGAGCTACTCGTTGAAGCCGGCCGCATCGGTGTTTTGGAGGCGCAAAGTAAGTCCGACCTGAGATCAAATTGAGGCAAGCGCTTCACAGAAGTCCCTTCAGTTGTGCCTGACCATTTTTGACTTTTTATAGTGGCCAATCCTCATTATGTTTCCAAGGAAGCCGCCACGCTCTGGCCCCGCTGGGGTAACATGTCTCCGTACCTGCGCTTCATCGAACTCCGCGAGCGCCTGGCCAAGGAGGGCTCCCGGCCTGTCAACCATGCCGAACCTGTGGATATTGAGAAGCTCTCGACAAATCAGCTGTCGAACCTCCACGAGGGATGTAAGCGGTGGATGAAGTCTTACAAGGAGAATGGCGAGAGTCACAGTTTGGAGGTGAAGCGGCTGTTTGACCGTGCCAAAGAGCTAGCGAAGGAAGCTCACGATATGCGCACCGCCATCAAGTACTTTTCACGCATGAAACTGGATTTCATGGTTGACAAACTCTTTATGATGGAGATCGTGGTCACGCACTTCCGTTCCTTCAAGGAGAAGGTGGCCACAATGGAGTGGTGCCTGGAACGTTGCGAGTTTGAGGAACGCGTGCGGGCGCATGGAGAGCAGAAGAAGAAGAATAACCCTGAGTGTACGCAAGAACTTGAGGATTTCATGGTGCAGTTGAAGTGGACGGGTGAGGATATATACTTGGAGGAGTTCTCGGACGAAAAGGTCTCGGGAAAGAAGTTGACGGATGAGTTGCCCTGGAGTGGCGCATTGGGGGCGTGGATGGAGGAGGGGGCTAGTCATGCGTTTGACGAGGATGACAGCAACATGTCTCTACATGGAAGTGATTTGACGACGGAGAAAGAGCACAAGGAGAACGGTGGTGAAAAGGAGGAGGGGACGATATAGTAGGAGTCCGCTGCCAGCACCGAGGCTCCTAAGAAAGAGGCCCAGGAAAAGACTGAGCGTAGTGAAGAAGCTTCACCTCATGAGGATCCCGGATCTCCCAAGAAGGAAGCATGGGTTAGCGTACTATTGACAATCGGCTTATCGTCGAGGTCAACACGCTTTTGCGGCCTGATTGTTGTTAGATACCTTAACAACGCTGCATCACCCAGATGGCCAAGGAAACAGAAGCAAAGAACAAAATGAGGAAGAGAAGTAGTGAAAGAGAGAGAATAATGGCTAACAAGATTCGCTGTGTCTAATCGTGGGGTGTCCTGTAAGGTAAGAAGTGCCGTAGTTGTCTTTATGACATTCACTGGGTCTCCTTTTCCTTCGCTTTTGAGAGTAACTCCTTGCAGGAATCCATCGCCTTCTGAGCATACTTGTTCAAGTCCTGGCCAAACTTCTCCTCAAACTTCCCGTCAAACACTTCCACGCTGAACCATCCCTTGAAGCCCGTGTCTAACACTGCTTTGGCAAACTGCTCAATGGGGAGGTAACCACCGTCGTAGGGAAGCGGACGATAGTCGTGACTCCAACGCCCCCTCGGCCGCAATCCCGACTCCGGATCGGGCTTGTCATCCAACGGTGGCTGGACCTTGTACGCATCGCTGATCTGGAAGAAGAAGATCTTGTCGGCCGGCACTGTCTCGGCCAACTCCTTTAAGCTAGCTCTGTATCTGACAGACAACTCCATCTCCGTGATGGCCGGCGTCTCGATCCTGCCAGACTCAGTTGTAGGATCTCCCCACTCCCCTCCAGCGGACTGGAACGTATCAAGGCACAGTCCGACGTTGGGCCTGTCCACCTTTTGCACAATGTTCCAAACATCCGACCATTTTGGGGCGTGCGTGGACCAGCACCAGTTCTCATACGCAAGCTTGAACCCCTTCTCGGCCAGCATGTCCGCCAACTCTCGAAGATCGGCTGCCACTCGCTCGGGATCGGTGGCGATGCCCTCGGAATCGGACGAGCCAACCTGGAGCATGTCCGTCCCCACTGCTTCCATAATTCTTATCCATCCTCTTGCACGCGCAAAGGCGTCCTCACGCTTCTTGCTGCCCTCGGGCCATCCTTCAAAGTTGGAGAAGGGCTGTAGGACGAAGATCTTGAGGTTGTGGCGCTCGACGAGGGTTCGAACTGCTTGCCCGGCTTCGCAGAGGGTGTCGTAGTCGTCTTCGGCAATGTCGCGGCCGAAGTGCAGGTTGGCGTAGGACTGGAGGTCGGGGAAGGAGAGCTCGATGCCGTCGAAGCCGGCGTGACGGATGGCTTCGATCTTTTGGTGGAGCGTGTGTTTGGGAAGGCCGATGGAGCAGGAGGCGAGAGCGAACGGCATTGTGCTTGCTGTATGGACAATTTGGGATCGAAAATGACGCAGAGATTGATAATCAAAGTATGGTAGGAATTTATGTGATTTATTGTTGGGGGTGGTTTCTGAGGTGTTGTTTGTGTTGTTTTGACGGCTCGGTGGGCACCTTGCTGGCTGTCGATGATGTCAACGATTGTCACCCCAGGCGGTTCGTCCCACATTATATCAGGTTGTCGATGCCCCACAACACCGACAACAACCGCTTCTCCCAACAGAGACACAACTACAAAATGGAGGGTTCTCACTTGAAACGAAGAGCGTTTGCATTAACGACATCAAAAGATAAGACAAGAGCCATATAGCCTTTCATCCAACAACTTTACCGACACGATTCCTGGTTCTGTTGAAGACATTTGCAACAGCACCAATCATCCCTGAAGACCACTGCAGTACAGAAGACCCCACGCGAGACCCTAACCCCGGCAACATTGGACCAAAATGGACGTTGAAAAAGTACGGATGCTCCCGAGACACTCGACAGATGCGGCTTAGCTGATGATCATGGCGTTTTCAGATTGGAATGATTGGAACCGGCAGCATGGGCGGCATGATGTCTCTTCTGTTCGCCGAGTACGGAATTCATACGCACTACTACGACCCTTCCAAGAAGAACATCGAAGCCCTCCAATCCCACGCCAAGGAAAGCAAGCACGAAGACAAGATCACCTACCACGACGACCACAAGTCATTGTGCGAGGCTCTAGAGGACGGTGATAAGCCCAAGGTCTTCATGTTCAGCATCCCCATGGCGGCCCCGCCGACGACAGTATCGATGCCCTCGAACCCTACCTCAAGCCAGGCGACATCATCATGGACGCCTCCAACGAGCACTGGAAGGCGACCGAGAGACGACAGGCCCGCCTTGAGCCAAAGGGAATCCATTACATTGGAATGGGCGTCTCTGGGGGCTACCAGTCTGCTCGCCATGGTCCTTCCATCTCCCCGGGTGGCAGCAAGGAGGCCCTCGACAAAGTGTTCCCCTTCCTCCAGAAAATCGCGTCCAAAGACAAAAAGGGACAACCATGCGTGGCCAAGCTTGGACCGGGCGGATGCGGGCACTACGTCAAGATGATCCATAACGGCATTGAGCACGGAATGATGACTGCCCTCTGTGAAGCCTGGGCCATCATGAACATCGGCTTGGGCATGGACTACGAAGAGATCGGCACCGTGTTTGAGAAGTGGAATGGTGACAAGGAAAGGCCATTGAGGGACAACTTCTTGATTGACATTGGTGCCGATATCTGCCGGACCAAGGATGAGAAGGGCAACTATGTGCTGGCCAACGTGCGTGACAAGGTCGTTCAGGATGTAGACAACTCCGAGGGGACGGGAACGTGGTCGGTCCAGGAGGGTACCAGACTCCATGTGCCAGATCCAACCATTGCCGTTTCGCACCTTTTCCGGGTAGCTTCAGCAGATGCAGCGAGGAGACTGACAGTCAGCAAGGCGTTGAACGGAAAGGGGGTGAAGCCGGCTCGAATCGAGGGTGTCGATAAGGACAAGTTCCTGGAAGACTTGTACAACGCCGTCTATGCCTCCTTCCTCATGTGCTTCATCCAGGGCCTGCACGTCCTTTCCAAGGCAAACGAGGAAAACGACTGGAAGCTCGACTTTGCTGATGTCCTGCAGCTCTGGCGCAATGGATGCATCATTCAAAGCGACGGAATTGCCGATTTGCTCGAGACTGTGTATCGCTCGAGGGAGCACGACAACGATGATCTCCTAGGACACCAAACGATTGCTGGCGAGCTCGCAAAAACGTACCCGTCGCTCAAGAGGGTTGTACTGAAGGCTATCGAGTTTGATCTACATGCTGGAGCGCTGGGCACCAGTCTCGAATACTACAAGTACTCGGGTTCGACTGAACTACATACCCACCCAATTCCAGGAGGCCGAGTTGGACTACTTCGGGGCTCACATGTTCGACCTAAAAACTGCTGAGCCGGGTAAGCCGGTGACGGGTAAACACCACTTTGAGTGGAAGCCCGCAAGAGGTATTCTGGAGACGGACGACTAAAGAGTTTTTGCAGTCCTGACTGGAAATTCAGAGAACGAGATACGACGTATTGTGTGTTCAAGATGCTAGTACCTAGACAATGACCCTCAATACAAGGGAACTCCCGACATATCAACGGATTGGACTATCTTCCCTTCACCCCTTTACGCAATCTTGCCCACGCATAAGCGGCTCATCCATCGCAATTCCCAAGAATGCTTCCTCAACATAGACAGGGCCATCGCTTGACATGGAAGATTTAGATTGCAAACCACCATGTACCGACCATCGCCCAGGTTGTGGATGCAGCAAAGTGAAAGGCAGTTCAACGGCAAGCATGGACATTGGTCGCCTTCATGAAACATTGTGCCGCCGGGGAGGGATGTTGATGAAACATGTGGAGTTTTCGACCTAACTGCGGTCCCGTGGTTCCGATCACCGCCCAGGCCCTAGTGTAGAGGTAGACAAGGAGGGCCACGTTCCGAAACTCATGATAGATGCCAAGAAGGTGACACTGATCACCAAAACAATTCGGCGCTAAGCCCAAGCACGCTCTTAGCTCTTCGAGTTTGTCATCGGGTTGTGGGGTGCAAGGAAGCTGTTCGCATGGCCCTTAATTACCCCCCTGAATGCCCATTGGTCCGCATAACCACGACTTAGAACCGCTTTGGGAATGGCGGAGGTCGATGTCCGTAACGGGAACCGGAACCACTTCCACTGAACATGACTGGATTCGACAAGAACACCAAGTCTTTGCTCGCCGAGGTCCAAGTACGGCTTCCAGGCACCGTGAATCCGGTTACCGGGCCGCGGTTTGTCGCGCCATGCAACGTTGGTGCCAAATTCTGGGATGGTGTCGCCGTCGAGGTGGGGGCTTCCCATCCTCCAATATCACAGATTATCAGGTTTGGGATCGATGTGTTCAAGTTCGGATGGTAGATGGTGTGTTCAAGGACGGAACATGGTCTTTGGGTCAAGTGGTATATATCCATCCGGGGCGCACTCTGCCAGCTCTTGTTCCCTTTACCTCTCCATCCCTCAAGCCTTCAGCCCCAAGACACCAGACTTCGGATCTTCCTGCTAGCACGGTCAAATCGCAGCTTCAACAACCCATTCTGTACCACCCGACATCACTTTACACCAATAGCCCATCATGAAGCTTTCAGTCGCTGCCGCCCTTTCTCTCGCCGCCAGCGAGGCCTCGGCCCACTACATCTTCCAGCAAGTCGGCGCCGGGACCTCGGTCAACCCGGTTTGGAAGTACATCCGCAAGCACACCAACTACAACTCGCCCGTGACCGACTTGACTTCCAAAGACCTTGTGTGCAACGTCGGCGCCAGCGCTGAGGGTGTCGAAACCCTCTCCGTTGCCGCCGGCTCCCAGGTCACCTTCAAGACCGACACGGCCGTCTACCACCAGGGTCCCACTTCCGTCTACCTCTCCAAGGCCGACGGTTCCCTTTCCAGCTACGATGGCTCGGGCGGTTGGTTCAAGATCAAGGACTGGGGCGCTACCTTCCCCGGTGGTGAATGGACTTTGTCGGATACTTACACTTTCACGATCCCTTCGTGCATTCCCTCGGGTGATTACCTTTTGCGTATTCAGCAGATTGGTATCCACAAGTGAGTTGAACCATTGCCGTGCCGTGCCGTGCCGTGACGTGATCGAGGAACAAGAAAGGATGGACACAGAGCTAACGAAATCGTCCTCCAACAACAGCCCCTGGCCCGCAGGTGTTCCCCAGTTCTATCTCTCCTGCGCTCACATCTCCGTGACGGGCGGTGGTAGCGCCTCCCCCGCCACTGTCTCCATCCCTGGAGCCTTCAAGGAGACCGATCCCGGCTACACTGTCAACGTAAGTTCTTTCTGTCCTACTTTTGCCCAGATCACCAGGTCGCTCCTGCCTATATTATCCTTCTGGTGGGGTTCTTGCCTAGAAACCTTCTGAAGTCGGGTCCATCCATTGTCCTGCCACTACATATGATCCGATTCAACCCCTCTCCTCGCCTATCAGTTGTACTTACCAAGTACCTCTACTAACCCCGAGCCCCCCAAACTGAACAGATCTACTCAAACTTCAACAACTACACCGTCCCTGGCCCCGAAGTATTCACCTGCAGCGGTTCCGGCTCCGGTTCCGGCTCCGGCTCCGGCTCTACTACCCCCCCATCCCAGCCGACCACTTCTACCACCCTCCCGACTTCGACCATTGTCGCAACCACCCTCAAGACTTCGACTGTCGTCGCCACGACCAAGAGCAGCAGCACCACTTCGTCGGCCTCTTCTTCAGGCAGCCAGCCCACCAGCCCTTCGGGCTGCACGGTGGCCAAGTACGGACAGTGCGGTGGCATTGGATACAGCGGGTGCACGAGCTGCGCTAGCGGGTCGACCTGCAAAATTGGCAATGACTATTACTCGCAGTGTTTGTAAGGGCCCCCGTCCTTATGAGAAGGGAAGGGGAATGAAGGGGAAGGAGTGAGGAGCATGGATTGAGAAGAGGGTGATGGGCTGCATGTGGGACTTGACCTGGAAGAGGAGAAGGAAGGGGAAAGGGAAATTTTAATATTCTTGTGAATAACTTCAATTTGGGGCATTCGCGCTTTTGGTCGGTGATAGCACACTCGGCTGGGAGCGAAAGGCCCCCTGATATCTGTATATAGTTCTTTTACTTCTTCACTTGGCCGTTGGTGGAAGTGCTGGTGCAAGCATCAGGCCACGGTCTTGTATGTTTGGAATAGATTGGTCGTTTGATATAGCATCATACCTAGTAGCGATTCAAAATCGTACTTGCATCCAGGTTTACATCAAGGTGCCCACAGGCGACTGTAGTAAAGACAAGGTGTTTGTGATGTGACTTGCTGGCGTTGTACTGGGATATTCGGGGGAATATGGGCACCGGGCAAAGTGGTTATTGGTCAAATGTCTTGTGTTGGGGAAAGAGGACATGAAGGTCTTAAGATAAGCGTTGCCGTGTATTCTTTGCGGCTGCTCTTCAATAGTAGATAAGGTACAAGTCTGGTATCAATCCATAATATGCATAAACCTTGAAGGCCCAGTAAGGAAGCTTTATCAGTACGGTAAATGGTAGAAACTGAAAGCAGGCTGCAGGAGAAGTAAAATGATATGCGGTCAGATTGCCAAAGGATAAAGAGGTATTTCACAGATATCACAAACATAGATATCTGCATTAAGGCCCCGGTTTGGGGGAGTAATATGCGTGCATATATAACGTCCGATGCCCTTGTTCGCCATGACGCCGTGGTATCTTGAATTTCCATAATATCATTACTTCTGTGGGCAATGGCTCCCTCTCCATCCTCTTATTTGCCCATCCCTCTTTTTCTATTTTTCCTTTTTAATTTTCAATGTTCTTTCTGGTCAATTCCTCATCTCATCGCCATGCAAAGTAGCTTGCTCCTGGTTAACGTCCTGCCGGTCGCCCTCCTGGTGGCCCACATGCTGCTGTGGCTGATTTTGTTCCTGTGGGCGCTGAACGGTGCCGGCGTCCATTTCAAATCCGGGATGATTCCCCGCGGGTAGTTCCTGCGCGCCAAAATGGTGGTCGGCGACGGGTAATTCTGAAACAGTATCTAGTCCCAACCCGTTGTTCTGGTAGCCTGTGAAAGCATTGTAGCCGTACTTTTGATCAAAGCCTTCGTGCCCAAGATTCGGTGACGTGTGTTGGCTCTGGAAACCTGCCTTGGAAAGGGCGGGAGAGAGAGGGCCATACTGGCTGCCGGTAGCAGTGAGGCCACTCACATATGAGTCTGCATTTTGGGAGACTGAGCATTAGCCGGTCTGATTAGTGCGATGGCGGGGAAGAACAGAGGATAGTAGAATCTTGGCTCTTACCTCGCATGTAGCCTGTGCTTGGGCTGCTCATGACTGACCGTCCGCTCTCATCGACGTAGCCGTATCCTTGATGTCCTTGGTGTAGGTATGCTTGCTGGCCCATGGGAGTCATGGGACCCATTTGAGACATGGCTGCTCCGGGCACATCCCCTTCCTGCACATCCCCTTCCTTCTTCTTCCTTGGGAACCATCCACACTTCCACAGAATCCCAGCAACAATGATGAGGACTGCAATAACAGCCCCGACAGCGATTCCGGCAATGGCGCCAGTGGATAGTCCTCTAGTGCTGCTGCTGGGGGGCTCGGGCTTGGGCTCGGTACTGCTGCTGCTGCTGCTGGGGGACTCGGGTTTGGTCTTGGTGCTGTTATAGCTGATGCCGGTGCCGGCAGGGTTGAGTATATAGTCACGTTTCCATTCCTCACCCGGGAACTTGTTCAAAACCGTCGGTCTTAATTTATCCTTGGGACAACCAGCGTTACAGGGATTGTCAGCGCAACAACCCATAAATGGAGGCGCAGCATTTGCGCATGTGTAGAATACTGCCTCTTGAATTGAGACGTCGCATGATTGACCCGGAAGAAGTTTGTATTTTGCGGAAGAAAAGGATGCAACTTGGAGTTCGTCGTCCGGGCAGACACCATTTCGTTCCTCGGTGCATGGGTCGACGGTGCAGCAACCGAGAAACTCGTGCTTCATTTCAGGACAGATGTAGAAGCTTCCATCCTTTGGGCACGAGAAGCCCCAGTATGCGATGAGTTGAGAGATGACCTCTGCACTGCTTGCCATGGTGAGTCCAGTGGTATGATGGGAATCAGGAATGGGAGAGGGAGGAAATCTTGGGACTGGACGGGAAGAGGTTGACGACGAGAAGAGATAAAAGGGAGAGGTTCAAGAACCTGCACGTAGGCAATCCCAAAGCTTTTTACATCATATGGTAGCTGACGGGATTCCAATGCTTGTAGAGGATGGGCCAGTAAGAACAATGGCTGGAAAACGAGTGCAGTTGATACTGGACCCGGGACCCAAGACGGACCATGATCATGACCAAAGAGGTGGCCTTGATGGGCTGAAATCAACCTTACCCAAAGGAGTAACGACAAGTGAAGAAGGTTTCATCAAAGGATGAGCCAAAAGCTGACATGGAAAGGCTTGGCCCGAAGGCAGCACCATTCTAATTGGGTTCCAGCACGAGGGGAACACGAAGAGACGCAGTGTCCCCAGTGCGGGCATACACTTCAACATGCTAACTGAACCGTCCGCCCAGCAAGGCAAGGGGTTCTTGAAAGTTATGTTGTTCTCGCCCAGGTTTGAATGCAGAAGACGACAGTATTGTCCTTCCACTTCTGCTGTGACCCAGCCTGCATTGCTGCATCCAGTCGGTGCTGGCGGTGAAATGTGAATGACAAATTGGCAGACGGCTTGTTGGCGGACGCCTGACGGAAAGAGAAAAAGGATGGCGATCCACCGGCGGGAGACCCTTCGACGACGGCTGGGTCGTCATCGTCTCTGTGGCGGACTTTGATGAACACCCCAGCTCTCATTGCATACCTTGCGCATGTCGAGATATGGTATGATGACTTTGGCGTTTGAGGCTGGGCCGGTGTGGGAGGGTCGGATTTGGTGAGGTCGAGGGATGTCTCGTTAAGAGTGGTGAAATGGTGGACATGATCATCATCGCGTTGGGTTTTTTTTTGACCCGAAAATGCGGAGAAAAATGGACCAAAACTGGGTCAAGAACAAACCTAAAAATTAGGTAGAAGTGCCAACGGGAAGGCGGGGAGCGGGCTGTGTCAGGCAGTGCACTACAGGCTTGGCATCAGGAATTCGATTTGGGGTTGGGCGCCCGCGTAAACGATTGTTCTCCAGCTTGATGTGCACTGTGAATCCCTACACTAACTTCATATGAGGTGTATAACGAAGTCTTCAACAATCGGCAGGACCCGGGCTTCCCTTCCATCCCATCCAGCGGCATCCATGCCGACGGGAACTTGTTCTCATCCCGTCTGCGAACGCTTCAGTTCTTTGATCCTTCCCGGTAACAACCACCTGATCTCGACAACCCGTGCCCCAGTTAGAGAGCAGGGGCAAACGTCCTCTCCCTGCTTAGGCCCTGATCGGTATCCTGCACACTGGGGGCGTGCAGACGGTGCTAGGTACTTGAGAAGTGTAGAGCTCTAGGTAGGGCGGGGAGAAAGTATCGTTGTCTATACGAGGTGTCTGCACGAGGTGTTCTGCACGAGCTCAAAAATACTGGTCTGAGGACTATTGTTGAAAACACCAAAAAACCATCAATAAGGGTGCGCGTGCAGACGAAATTCTAATTTCTATTGGTGCTTAGCCTATAGGTAGATACGGTAGAGAAAAAGATACATCCGGTCTTAGCGACTACGCGTACAGAGACCAAAAAAGGCCCGGGCGTCGACGAGAAAGGAAAGGCGGCTGTGATAAAAGAAGAGGTTATCCATTTGCATTGTAACTAAACGTCCAAAATTTATTGAAAACCCTCTGCACGCCCCGAGTGTGCAGGATGCCGATCAGGGCCTTAACAGAACCACCCCCCCTGCTATTAGCCATGTTATACAACTACTCGTCAGGTCTACAAAATCGACCGTCAGACTAGCGGGCGAGCCACTAGTTACACTGGAGGTAGAAGAGGGGCTAATAATAGTATATTCAACAGGGGCTCAACGTGTCGTTGGTTGACTAACGGGGTCTTAAAAAATATCTGGCTGCACATATACTGTTAAGATAATTATATATTGAAGATAACAATTGTAGTAGTATTATAGTGCGTTTATATGGTCGCTGTATCCTGTGCTTAATGTTTTGGCTCGATTGAACCGTACGCAATATAGCCAACTACGCTGCACGCTTCAACGGCGAATTTAAAAACCAACGGAGCGTTCAATAACGCTTCCCGTTGTACGTACAACTATATAATTATATTAGCAACTCGTTTAATTTTTAATCTATTATATAAAATAAAATAATTTTGAATAATAAATAAACCTTTTACTTTCAATATTCCTATATTTATATTATCGTATCGCGTATATAAATATTGCCCGATAATAAAAGAATATTTTAGTATATTATTATTTTTATTCCGGTATATATTTGTCTATAGTTATATTTTGTCTTTCGAAGTATATTTGAATTGTAAATGGGAATTAGCTTTTATTATATATTTAGTAGTGTAGTTGGATATTTACTCTCGCTATATATTTAGTAGTGTAATTGGACATTTGCTCTCGCTGTATATTTGGCTAATGAAAGGTGTAAAGGATCTATAATGTATTTCTACTCTAAAGCTATCGTAATGCCTCCCGGCGCTGACTTCTACTATTATTCTACTACTTTACTACTCTATTGCTCTACTACTCTACTACTCTACTGCTCTGCTACTCTACTGCTCTGCTGCTCTACTACTCTATTACTCTACTATTCTACTACTCTACTACTCTAGGCTACTAATTAAACTCTCCACTTGCCAACTAATAGTAGTCGTTTACTCCTCCTTCTATTTTATACTTTAGTATAGGATATCGCTTACCCTTTGCTTTTTCTTGGGACTTTA